AAACTTTTGAGAAAAAGGAAGCACAAGCCTGCTCCTTCTCATTTTACAGCTCATCCTAGTCCATCTAGGGATCTTGGGAGAACTTAGGAACCATTTTGATCGTTCCGTTGAGGATGCCAGACCAGTCTCTGAGATTCCAGTCCCTTCTTCCCCTTTGTTTGCAAACTGTCCATCCCACTTTCTCAGTACTTGGTCACAAATTTCTTAGGACCAATGGGTTTTACATGCCATGGAAGTGGAATATAATTTGTGTTTTCCACTTTCTCTCCCTGTCCCTCTTCAGGGATCACTCTCATGAGGAGCACTTCCTTCAGGACATTCATTCTGTCATCCAGGTAGGGGTTTTGTTCCTGCTTCTTTCTAACACTGAATGCAAAGGGAGATTTCAGGTCAATTTTAGACCTCAGTCAACTCAACAGACCTCTAAAATAGATAAAGTTTCATGTGGTCATGCTGGCTTCCATATTGTCCTAGCTGGATCTTGGAGGCTGGAATGCCATCCTGATCTTAAATGATTCCTACTTCCATCTGGTGATTTTTAGCAAGGTGTTAGGAAGCATCTCAGATTCCTGATAATCACATTTTATTGCTAGTTCACAGGGCTGCCCAAAAACCCCAGGTTTTTACAAAATGTATGGCAGTGAGATTGCATGAGGCTTCTGGGCTGTCTTCTGTACATATGTAATCTGGTATGCCAGATTGTCCCATTTCATGCTGCCATGACTGGGTAAATCTTGAGATGTAAAACGATGGAGCAAATTGCAGGAAACCTTGACTCTGGAAGGAAAGTTCTGACTTGAGTAGAGTCTAGAACTGCCCCTGTAAATCCTACCCTCTGAACTGGTGAGAGGATAGACTTTTCTCAGTTGATCAACAGTCCCAGTGCTTTGAAAGTTGACTGAAGAAACTACTGTGCCTGAGCTCTGGAATGGCCTCTCATAAGTGAGCTGTCCAGGTAGGTATGGACTTGTATTCCCGACTTCCTCAGGCAGAAGCCACCACGGCCATGTATTCTGTAAAAACCTGGGGAGCTGCCGGCAGGCTGAAAGGCAGCCCTGTGAACTGGTGATGAGGATTCTACAAGGTTGGCTGAACCCTTGCCAAACCATTATCCTCTAAACCCTGTGTTGTGGATGCTCCCTCATACATTAGCCTCTCTGGATTGATGGACAGACCCTGCAACCATTTACATTCGCATTCGCTTTGTTCTCCGTCAACCCTTGCCAGTGGCGGTACAGCTACATCTGCCCTGGATTGGGGGACTCATTTGGGTTTCCTTCACATGCAGGGGTAATGATCTGAAGAGGACCTGGCTCTACACACAAATATCAAGGAGTTGAGAACTGGCTGGCTAGTGTATCAGGCGTTCTCATGCCAGGTGAAAGGGAAGAGCCTATTCACCCTCCTACGGCACAGGAGCAGTGTTCTCCCTCAACAGACAAGAAGGGGCCCCCTTGAGCCTGCACTGCCAGAAGGTGTTTCATTTTATGGGTCTTTTGCATTGCCAGGTTGGTTGCTCCCAAAGCCACCTGCATTCCAGGAAGGCAGAGTGAACTTGCGGACCACCTACACAGGCCATTTGCGAGTCACTGTGACTTAATCCAGATGTAGCCAGGTTCATTCCTCAGCTCTCGGGGACTCTTTCAATAGGCCTGTTCACAATGAGATACATCGGGAAGTTTTGTTCCCTATTAGGTCACAATATGGGCTAAGGATGTAAAATCCCATTTAACCGGTTAACTGATTAAGGGTGGGAGGGCTTGCCTGCAGCCCCTCCTACCTCAGATGGATTGCTTGAGCCCCCACTGGTTAACTGGAACCAATACGCATCACCTGTTAAGGTTAACCAGCTAATCTCTTACATCCGTAGTATGGGCTCCCCCCCCCTCCCCCCAGACAAGCAAGCTATGGTACACAGAGTGCTGTTAAAAATCAGACTGGACTATGCATGGCCTCTGCAGAACTGGTTTGCCACTCTCAGGTACCAGACTATTTTTTTATGGCACTTAAATCTGGTATAGTCAAAGTCTATGGGGCTTGCTTGGGAATCTTTAACTATCTGCTCATTACAGCATCTTTCAATGGACTATTTTTGGTGGCCAACACTTTTGCAGAAGAGATGGAGAACTGCAACCCCTGATGTTCAGCCCTTCTTAGCCTGTTTTTTCTAGTCTAAAGCCAAAGTTTGCCTGCATCTTCACTCAAGTTCTGTCTCAAAAGTGGTTTCTAACTTCCAAATCAACCAAGCAATTCACCTGCCTTCATTTTTTTTCCTGAAGCCTCCTTTGAATAAAGATGATGAAAGGTTGCACACTCTGACTGTGAGCTTCCTGTTTCTTCTCAGCAGCTAGCATCTTGGGTAGCCTCCTGTATTTACTCATGCCACAATTTGGCTAAGGCTATCCCCACCATGCAGAGTGACAGCACATTCAATGCAGTCCTAGCAGCTTCTGGGCCCTTCCTGGCCAAAGTTTATGGCTCAGACATTTGCAAAGTGGCAACTTGGTCACAATACACATATTTTCATTCTATCATAACATCATTCACCATGCTAGCACTGATGCCGGATTTGGCGGCATTGTCCTTTGGTCATCATTCAAATAGACTCTAATGCCTCTTCCTGCTTTCCAGCCTTGTAAGGCATCAAGACTGGAATGCACATGTGCAAGCACTCGAAGAAGAAAAAAATTATTACTAGCCTGTTCCATAACTTTTTTGTCCTTTGAGATGTCCACTGTCTATCCCAGGATCTGCATAAAATGGCTTACTACATAAAAATAGTGTTGAGCTACAGTTCATTGACAGGGAAGCGTGGAGGCCTTGATCCAGAATAAGTTTAAAATACAGGCAGTGGTAATATCAATTTTTTGCCTTGGATAATTTGCCTCTCTAAATCAGAGCATCTATCTCACACTGGGATTTGCACTAGCATCTGTCACTCAGTCAATGATAGAAATACATCTTAAAAAAAATCATAGTTGAGCCTTCTGACTGGAAACACTAGAGTACATCAGCTTTCCAGGATGGACTCTGGGGCTCCCCTCCTCTCTCTTTTTTGGAAAGGTGTTGGTTAATTATCAGTAGGTTGGTTGGGTGTTATGGTTTGATTTATGTCATTTACGGGAAACACAATTCAGTCTAAAATGTGGATTAAAAACTACTTTTAAAATTTGGCTAAATGGAATATCTGGGCTCCCTGCCTTGGGCCCTGCGCCTTCAGGCCCCGCGCTGCTCCCCGCCTGGCTGCTCACTTACTACCCTGGCCATGCAGTGCAGCCAACCACAACATGCTGCCTTGGGTCCCGCCAACTCTTTGGCCAGGCCTGCCCTTGTATGACTTCATGCTTTTTTCACACAATTCCTAAAGTCTGACTGGAACAGAATGTGCACCAAAATCAAGATTTACAAGAATACAGTCCTGATTTTAGGCTCTCAAATGCCTTGCCTTTGCTATTTCAAAGCATTCACATGCATTGTGTAAGCAGTCTGTCCCATAGGACTGAAGTGCCTGCTAGTCCTTTGAGTAATTTATTTAATTATAGATCTCTGGATCAATAAGCAATTTAAATGAAGACATGACAAATATATGCAATACTTTATTTTATTAGCATATATGTTTATTCATATTGTACAATATAATAATTTATATATACAGTATTATACAAAATTATTAGAAATGATGCCTTTTGACAGATACAGAAATATTTTGTTTTTATTCCTGTACAGCTTTTGTGTAATACAATAAAAAAAAACCCTCTATATTCTAAATTAAATAATGTTAAATAGTCTGTGTACATGTTGGCACCAGTCATTTCAAGGGCCTAATGTTCTTCAAAGTCAATAAAAAAAATGATTACTGTGTGTCTTTACATAAGTACATGATGTATTAATATTAAATGAAACAATAAATGGCAGACCAGTCTGATAGTTGTAGGACAACTGTGTAATTATATATTGGCATAAGAAAAAGAGCAACTTTTCTCTTTATTAAAGATGAACTCAAACTTCAGAAATACAGATTTGGCCCGAAATCCTGGCCACGTTGAAGTTAATTGGGATTTTGTTATTTACTTCAGTGGAGCCAGAATTTTACTCACAGATTTTTAAACATCCCTTTGTCCAGTACTTTGTGGTTTTTAGTTTTGAGCTCATCTGCAGAAAATGTCCCTTCAAGGAGAGAAGTATGATCAAACTGGCAAACTTAGGTGTTAAATGATATTAGCCATTCAGCATATAATTACAGTCCTATCACAGATAAATTCTGTATTCTCAGTGGTGGAAAACTGGCTGTTAGAGTCAAGGATATGACTGATATTTTTATAACACATTAGCTCAGACATGCAATTTCTAATTTAAAAAGTTATGGAATTTGTTTTAATTAAGTAATAATTCCCACTGAAATCTGTCACTACACATTCTAACAACGAACTGAATTATAGATTAACCAACTGGATTGTTAACAGATACTGGCTTCTAGTCCCTGCAATTATAGGTTTATAACCCACACTATCAAGAAAAATAGAGATTTGTTAACTTTTAAACAAATAAGTTGATAAATTGCTGCTGTGGACAATCTCAAAATAAAGCTTCCATGGTTTGTTTAACTCTATGTTCATATATTTTTACAACAAGAACACAGCTTTTCAAATACCACTTCATTTGCTACATTTTCTTCTTTTTCAAGTGTTTAACTAAATCCACATTTTTTGTTCTATGTTTTCTGCATTGCAGTCATAGAATATGCACAATTTTTGTTTGATTCTGTTTGGAATATAATTTAAGAAGCACTGATATCATTAATGCCTAAAAAGCAAAATGTCCTCTAATGCAATAGATAACTGTCTGTTTCTAAATACAGAAAAGAGGAAAAAGATGTCCTTTTGGCTTACGGGCAGTCACTGCCAACTTTCTCACCAGCATGTCTTGTCAGTTAGTGGTTTGCATTTACAATTTCTGAAATGTCCGCATAAATCAAGACTGCTCTAACACATTGTATATTGTAGTTTGAAGCACTTGGATCATATAGACTCCACTAGTAACTTTTTTCATACAGTATAATTAGTTAATCTAAGCACTTTGTTTATATAACTTTATGCACACACTTCTGGATTCACTAAATCTGTGGTATGTATAAGGAATGTATTTGTCAATCAAATGTGTGAGAACTGATAGATCTGTATGTGGTACTGTAACAAACTATAGAGAGCTATTAAGTTATTGAACAGAGCCCAGGTGATATAAATATCCTCAGACATCCTCAGACAATAATTAAATGGTATCCACACACTCACCTGTACTTATACTTGTAAGCTGTGTGGCAAATGGATATTAGTATCCACTTACTATTTAACAAGAGTTATTCTGTTTAACTAAATATTTCATGTTGAACTTCTCCGAAGAATTCTTTGCCCTTGTTTATTTATGTGCAAGATAAATTCAGTTGCAAATCCTGCTTCACTTTACTCTTTGGAACAACATGGAATGTAAGTAGTGTATGAGAAAACCAGTTCTTTTTAAGACTCTGTCCTATGTCTTTGAACCATTGCTCTTGGGATCAATGTTCTTGTGCAATCTTTGGAAATGATCCTCACATCAGGTTGTAACCGCAGGTTCAGGTGAAGGCATCACTTGTGCCCACTCCAAAATATCTGCGCACAGAGACTCAACAGCATCTAACCGCTCAATTTGCACTAGTTTGGTTAGAAGTTCTGGGATGCTGTAGCCGGCTGTGCTGATACGGTCAAAGAGCTGCATGCCGTCTGTCATACCACCTATTTCATCCCTCTTTAGTCCAAAGCTCTCAGCAAGGTGGCGCCATGTTTTCACAATAGCTTTTTCTGAGTTGTACGTTGAACTGAGCATCCTGCTGGTCTTCTCCAGGCAATCAAATGGTAGCTCTGTGGGACTGAGACCTACAAAGTAAATATTCTTAGAATCAGAAGATTCTATATATGGACCTTGATAATGACTAGAAATACTAGAAGTTCAGTACTACACTTATGAACATCTTACAATATTAAATATGGACACTCCAAAAATCATGTGAGAGAAGCACACTGCCTGATGGTCAACTCTTTGGGTTATTTTTACATGATTATTTTGGCATGAGTAGGTCTAAATTAATAGGCATAAATGACAGTATCAAATTGGAAAAGTCTTGAAAGAGAAAAACTGAAACAATGAATTAATGAGATATGAGAAAGGTTAAGAGAAGAATGCATGTGTGAGTTTGGGTGCAAAATGATTAAGATAAGACCATAAGAATGGCCATACTGGGTCAGACCAATGGTCCTTATGACCCAGCGTCCTGTCTTTCAACAGTGACCAATGGCCAGGTGCTTCATCACGAATGAACAGAACAGGTAATCAAATGACTCATCCCCTAGTGCCCATTCCCAGCTTCTGGCAAATAGAAGCTAGGAAACTTCAGAACATGGTTTTGCATCCCTGCCCATCCTCACTAATAGTGAGTGGTGAACCTATCCTCCACGAATTTAACATTCTTTTATGAACTTTGTTATAATCTCGGCCATCAGAGCATCCTCTGGCAAAGAGTTCCGTAGGCTGACAGTGTAGTGTGAAGAAATACTTCCCTTTGTTTGTTTAAACCTGCTGCCTATTAATTTCATTTGATGACCCTCTAGTTCTCATGCCATAAGAAGGAATAAGTAACGTTTCCTTATTTACATTCTCCACACCCGTCTTCATTTATAGACCTCGATCATAACCCCTCCTCCCTTAGTTGTCTCTTTTTCAAGCTGAAGAGTCCAAGTTTCATTGATTTGACATATGGAAGTCTCCTCTCTCAGCTAATCCTAAAGTAGCTGTCACAGAGCTACTTAAAGATGTATCCCTAGTGCACACGTAACAGATAAAGCTAAGCATGTTTAGGAGAAGATTTTCTTTTTGGTTTGCAAACTTGCTTTCATACCAGTTTTCTAGTGGTACAACATTCAGTTATTTAATGGCAAAGAGCATACGTTGCTGATGATAATTCTCTCCCACAGCGGGTTCAGTGTTTTACACATGCTCCTCCCTCCTCATCGAAGGGTATTCTTGCAGGATGGCGAACACAGCTGGTGCCATGATGCTTATGGCCTCCGAGCAACTCCTGCAAGGGTTTTATAATCCAAGTACCTCCATGGGAGAGCTTGGTCAATATTAGCACTGATCAGGTGGCTGAACAGATGCTCTTTGCTCGACAGTTTTGCTATCATACTAGATGTAGTTCAGGAGACAGTATCAGCAACAAATACTTTAGAATCTGTGATCATTAGACGATAATAGGATGATAAATAACAGCATGGATTTGTCAAGAACAAACTGTGTCAAACCAACCTAATAGTGCTTTTGTTAGGTGCGGTAACAAACGTTTGTGAAAATGGGGAAGTGAAAGATGTGGTGTATCTTGACTGTAGTAAGGCTTTTGATACTGTCTCATATGAACTTCTCAAACACACTAGGGGAATGTAGCCTAGATGGAGCTACAATATGGTGGTTGCAGAACTGGTTGGAAAGCCATTCCCGGAGGGTACTCATCAGTGCTTCATTGTCAAGCTGGAAGGTGATATTGAATTGGGTCCTTCAGGGCTAGGTCCTAGGCCTGGTTCTCTTCAATATCTTCATCAGTGATATAGATAATGACCAAGAGAGACCACTTTTATAACGTTTGCAGGTGATACCAAGCTGGGAAGGGGTGCAAGTCCTTTGGAGGATTGGATTAAAATTCCAAATGATCTGCAGAAATGATCTGAAGTAAATAGGATGAAATTCAACAAGGACAAATACAAAGTACTCCACTTAGAAAGGAGCAGTCAGTTGCACACATACAAAATGGGAAAGGACTGTTTAGAAAGGACTACTGTAGAAAGGAATCTGGGGGCCATAGTGGACCACTAGCTAAATATGAGTCAATAGTGTGACAATGTGAGTGTGTGTGGTGGTGGGGGACGGGGAAGAGAAGCAAACATAATTCTGTGATGTATTAGCAAGAGTCTTAAGCAAGATATGAGGAGTTATCTTCTGCTCCACTCCACACGGATTAGACCTCAACTGGAGTACTGTGTCCAGTTCTGGGTATCACATTTTAGGAAAGATATGGATAAACTGGAGAAAGTCCAGAGAAGGACCACAAAAATTACTAAAGCTCTAGAAAATATGACCTGAAGAAAGACTACAAAATCTGGGTTTCTTTAGTCTGGAAAAAAGAAAACTGAGAAGACACATAGCAGTTTTCAAGTACATAAAAGATGTTACAAGGAGGAGGGAGAAAAATTGTTCTTGTTAACCTTGCATGCTAGGTCAAGAAGTAGTGGGCTTAAACTGGGCCAAGAGAGGTGTAGGTTGTACATTAGAAGACATTTCCTAACTGTCAGGGTAGTTAAACACTAGAACAAATTGCCTTTGGAGGTTGTAGAATCTCTGTCATTCCTGACAGTTAGACAAACACCAGTCAGGGACGATCTAGGAGATTAAGCACTATCTTGCCTTGAGTGAGAACACTTGGACTAGACCAGTGGTTCTTAAACTTTTTGGCCTGGAGCCCACCTGGCTCAACACAAACCTTTCCACAAACCACCAATTGCTAATGGAAACTCACCATTAATTATATAATTACACCAAAGCCACTTTGCTAGGCTGCATCTAGACTGGCAAGTTTTTCCGAAAAACTTGCCAGCTGTCTACACTGGCCACTTGAATTTGCGAAAGGAACATTGACGATCTAGTGTAAGATTGTCAGTGTTCTTGCGCAAATACTATGGTGCTCCCAGTTGGGAAAAAGCCCTCTTGCGCAAGTGAATTTGCGCAAGAGGGCCAGTGTAGACAGCTGAAAACTGTTTTGCGCAAGAAAGCCCTAATGGCAAAAATGGCAATCGGGGCTTTCTTGCGCAAAACCGCGTCTAGATTGGCACGGTCGCTTTTCCGCAAAAAAGTGCTTTTCCATTAAAAGCATTTGCGGAAAATTATGTCAGTCTAGACGTAGCCCTAGTGTTGTAGCTAGGAAGAACAGTTTATTTTAACCAGTAAGAAAGGAAATGTTAATTGGAATTAAACAGATTAAGCCCTTTAACTTTCTCATGTTTATTTACCAAACTTCATTTTAAATAAAGTAAAATACTTATTTATGTCCAACACAAAAGGTTTTGACATTGTCTTTATTAATGGCAGGGGTGGGGAACCCTTTTTAGGTCAGGGGGCTACTGACCCACAGAAAAAACAGCACAAGAAGCAAAACAACAACCACAAAAAACCTCCAGAAACTCCCAACCCTCACTGATGTGGCCCCCAATTGAGACACCTCACTCCCCTGGCATTCCAGCCCCATGGCGGGAAGGAGGACTGAGCTTCAGGGCTTCCCATAGGCCAGATTAACTCTTCTGTGCTTCTGGGGTTAGTGGATTTTGTGGACTCCCTGAGCTCTGGGGTTGGGCCAAAATAAGGCATTCAGTGTGCAGGACAGGGCTGCCAGTGAGTGGGATGAAGGTGCAGGATCTGGGCAGGAGGTGGGGTACAGTAGGGGGTGAGGGTGCAAAGTCTGGGTGCAGAGTCTGGGTGCAGGAGCAGGCCAGGAGTAGGGGGTCTGGCCCAGGAGGAGGACACAGGAGCAGGCTTGGGGTGCAGGGTCTTAGTGGGAGGGTTGGAGGGGTGTAGGGTCTGTGCATGAGGGGAAGGGGGTACTTATCTGCCTTAGAAACCCCCCCCCCACACACACACACTCCAAGGCACCGTGTAACACATCTGTGCACTGCTGTTCCCCCAGCCAGGGGACGGGAAGTGGAGAACGGAGCCACTTCTTCCCTGCAAGCCGGATTGCACAGTGAGTCTTGGGGCTTTCTCCCCACCCACTCTCCCAAGAAGCTGGTGCTGGCACTCTAACCTCACGGGGGAAAAGACCACGAGGCTGGAGCATCAGCGCAGGCTCCCCTCTGTAGGGGGACATAAGGGGAATTGTGCTTGAGCCATGGAAAAGCCTGCAAGGTATTGGGGACCACTAGTGGTCAGTGTACCCCACTTTGAAAACCACTAGTCTAGATGACCTCTCGAGGTCCCTTCCAGTCCTACACTTTGATTTTTGTAAGTACCCCTCATTCATTGATTCTGAGGCTGTTAAAACTTTTTCCATTTCAAATTCAATACCAGTGGTCTGGTGAGAGCTGGGATCTCACTGAACCATAGAGCACACAGAGGAAGAGTGAATTAAAGAGAAAATTGAATAAGATTGTATACCCTGTGATGTAGCGAAATGAATCCATGTCACTGTGCCTCAGTAGCAGAAGTAATCAGGAGCTAAATCGAATTGTCTGACTTGAAAACTACTGTTTTTAGGATGTGGTGGCTGAACAGGGTAGGATTTAAGAGCAGCTGAGAGGAAGCTAAGAGCTGAAATACAAATCTGATCTTCCCTACATCTTCAATTAATCAGGACACGTTTTAATGAGTTTGTTTCTCTAACCTACTTAAAATATATACCTAGTACAAATTATACAATTTATAATTTGCATCATCTCTTTTGTAGATCACTTTTTGACAGTTATGAAGGCTAACGGAAATATATTCCACAGCCGGTAGTTATGCTTTAGTTCTACACAGTCTGGATGCATTGTGTTCACACTCACCTTCAGCAACACCACATACACTGGCGTACACATCAAGTATCTTTTTCCTTCTACTTTGAATCTAAAGAGAGCAGCAACAAAACATATTTTAAAGACTAGTACCTCCTTATTTCTTCAATCAGGTGAGGCGCTAAGCAAACAGGGCAACCAGACACACAATACAACTGCTTGAGGTGCTCTCTAGAGGCTATTCTTCCAAGACTCTAAACACACTGAATTAGTACATGTAGCTTCCAAAGATCCTACAGTTTCATAGAAGAGTAAGAGAAGTGTAAATGAGTTAAAAGTAAATATGGGGGAGAGGGCATTGCTTTACCTTTCCACTGGTGGAGCTCTCACTTTGTGTCCCAGTCATCCTAATTTGGATTAATGAACTTTCTTCTGCAAGTGTTTTAGTATTTAATTTCCATTTAAAGACCCACCCCAAAGGAGGGAGTTAAGTGAATACCACAGCTGTGTTTCCCCCAAATGCAGGGACTGTTACATACACAGGGTGGGGCCAGCTGTGATTAATTAATTCTCCCAGCACACTGCAAGAGGATTGCACTTGGAGGAGTTGTTGCTAGGCGGCATGAGGGTCAGATTATATTGGTGGGAACATTTTTCAATTACATATATTTTTGCCAGAATATGTTCTTTTGTCAAAGCCAGAGCAGAAAGATTGATTTAGATGAGAAGGGTTTCTGAAGTCCAGGGAACTCTGAGCATTTCTGATGAGAGAGACATAAATTGATCTGACCTTTTCAATGTGAAACCAGATGTTTTAACACACTTCTATTTTGCAGAAACACTTGAAAAGATTTTGTTTTTGTTCCAGTGCCAAATGAAAACAATTTTAAAACCTTAAAAGTTGTCATAATACAGAATTGTTGTCTTCAAGTCAGCCCTAGCTAGGAGCGCGCTATTAGAAAAATTCCCCCTTTTCATGGGATCCAAGCACTTGTTTCACAAACCACCAGTGGTCACAAAATGTATTTAGAAAACACCCTGAAAAAAGCCTGCTTGAGCTTTTAGGTTTGTGGAATGATCTTGTGTGGTTCACTTTCTTTGGCCTGTAAAAGCCCAGGTACATCAATCAGTTGGATTTCTAGACCTGTGGTGGTAGACCCCTGACTGACTACTGCTCACTTGATCTGTTATATTCTTGGTGTTACTAATTTCGTAATAAAAACTTGGAAGTTTGGGATTGTGTAACCCATGTAGCTAATAGGGAGATACTACTTTAAGAGACCCCTGGTTGGGAGGTAGGAGTGAGTTGTGTCTGGGTCACTGTTGCTGAGCCAATTTAGTACTCCATACCTAGAAGCTTGTGGAATAGGGTATGGTAGTTTTGTGGTCTGCTCCAATAGGTTCTGTCTCAGTTGCTGGGATCAGACTCCATAAGCAAGCAAATAGGATTGTTGCTTTTGTAAGGGTGTAACCTGGGTGAACTGGGAGAGCTTGAGCCAGGAGCAGCGGACAGGCTGGGGTCCCTCCCTCTGAAGCACTTTTCAGCAGGTAGTGATGATGTTAACCCTCTAGCTGGGAACCTGGGCAATGTTAGCAAAAGGAAACTGGGAGGGAAAATAATTTCTGTGTTAACTGTATGTTTTGAATGCTGTTTTGATTTTAACCAAAATGTTCTCATTTACTTCCTTAGTCAGTGAGGTTCTTCAGCTTGTCTTTAAAGGTAGTAATGGGGAAAAAGTCATTTTTATTTTGTTACACTCAGTTTTTGTATTTTCTTGCAACAGGGTTTTCTTTAAATCTGTTCACTTATGAGTTAACTGACCAGTTAATCAGTTATCTGGCTGTCTAGCAGTGACCACAGCAGAGGAAGTCTGTCTGGACTCCAGCTGAGGATTAAGGATGTTAACTAATGATTAATTTAGTACTTGACTAGTTGATAGGCACATCCACATTCCTCCTCTGAAACGTACAAGAGACCCTGCAAGGAGGAATGCAGAACTCCACATGCAGCCCAGGACCAGTGGGAAGTCCTGCTGACTCTGGGTCACATGCAGGCGAGCCAGCTTTGAAATACACAAGAGTCCCCAGTGGGGGCTCTTGTGAATTTCAAAGTGGAAGTGCCCCCATGGAGTCTAGGATCAGCGGGAGACTCAGAGTCCCAGCTGACCCTGGGCTCAACACAGCGCTGCTGCTTTGAAACACTGTGGCAGTGTTTCAAAGGGGCAGTGCCGCACAACTGAGCCAGGGATCAGCTGTGTGGTGCTGCACCTTTGAAATGCCCCTTCATGTTTCAAAGGCGGCAGCACTGGATGGAACCCACGTACGGGCTCCATTTGGCACTGCTGCTTTGAAGTATCCCCTCCCCGCCCACCTTTGCTTCCTCTATCTGATAGAGGCAGCAAGGGGGGGGGGCACTCAACTAGTTGACTGGACTATCCGATAAGCTTTTGCTTATCCGCTAGTCAACTAGTCCTTAACATCCTTACTGAGGATCCCTGCAAGCATGTGGAGAGATGGTTCAGACTCAAGAATATTGTGCAGATTTGATGATCAGAGACAGAAACTGAGACGTTGGTGAATTAAATCTAAGCCTTTGAGATCTCTCAGCTTCTGCTTATTGTGTTTTGTGTGGACTGAACTGTTCAAATTTTACTTTTGGTTTTCTCTATTTATGTTTGTTGTAACTGTGAAGACAGTGTCTGGGTTATAAAATAGTTATGTACAAATTAGATGATTTGTTTCTTCATCATAAGCTTTTATAAAATTATTTAATTATATTCATTTCTTCCATTTCTTTTGTGACTTGTATGTAGGGAGGCTGGCACTCTTCTATCCTTGCTGAAATTCCTTAGAAACTGAACTTTGGGTCTCCAGCTACTTTATATGAGAATGGGGGTGGGTTGGGTTTTTTTTTTTTTTTAAGACAACACTGGAGTCGAGCAGTAAAGTGTAGCCCACCCAAGGCTACATAAGCACAGTAGTTCTGCATTTGGAGCAGTGGCATTATAAATGTGTCAGGAGCTTAGCTTTTTTCCCCCTAAGGGTTTCCAATTTCCACTTAAAGCATCTTGGATGTCCTCTTTTTTCTCTCCACTTGGGAGGCTTTCCTCTGTGTTGGTTATCTCCAGTGCAAAGAGAGACTTAATACACTCCTCCCTTCCTAGTCTAGCCAAAGGAATGCCAGAATCTGTCTGTTTTGTACAAAGGCTGAAATTGTTGACTCTGCGCTGTAAATGAACTATCTTTGTGTTTTGACCTTGGATCTCTCTCTAGCTCATTGCATAATATTTTTTAAATAGGAAGGAGCCATCCAGGCTGCCAAAACTAGCTATGAGATTTTCTGTATGTTTCTACCTTTCTAGATGTCCCTAACCTCACTCAACACCCATTGAGCTCTATGGTCGGTCTTATTACTTCATCTCCACTCCCAAGTGCTTGCCCAAGGCATGGAACCTGGTTTGGTCATAAGACATTCAGCTTCCATGCCTCACATTTGAACACAATCTGTATTTCCATCAAAGACTATGCAATTAGTCACTATTTAACATCCTTAGTGTCACTTGGTCTGAGAACTGATATACCAGTTTTCAACCTAATGCAATATATAGCTAGAAAGAGGTTCCCATGGGAAAACTCATACATACGATTAATGCTAATTACCAGCTGTAAATAGCTTTTTAAAAGAAAGCTTAAAAGCATTTCTCTTGGGGCCAAAACTTTCCATGTCTGGTCTTAGTTGAAATATGAGCTATTTTGGAAAGTTTTGAGCTACATTCATCTCAGCCATTTAAATTATGCAAGGGTGAATAGTTATACTCTTCAAACTTTAAGAAAAAGTTTCTTTTTAACATGGGTTAGAAAGTTTGGCTTCTTTCCTGAAAAGTAATAGGTGTGACGGCATTGCGCAAGAGGGTTTTTCTTGCGCAAGAAGGGGCAGTGTAGACGCTCCTTCTTGCACAAGAGCCTCTTCTGAAAAAAAATGGTGGCTTATTAGGTATGCAAATGAGGCTCAGCGATATTCCACGCTTAGCCTCATTTGCATATGACTCGTGCAAGAAGCCATGAGTGTAGACATAGCCTTGGAGTAGTTCTTTGAAATACCGGAACCACCTTCAAAGTGAATCTTGTAACTTTGAAAAATAAATAGGAAAGCTAAGTACAAAACTTAATCTTAATGAAACATTAAGATGTAGAAATGAGCATGTTGTGCTTAAGCACAGAAGTCAAGAAATTCAAAAGGTAAGATTCCCTCTAACACTAGTTCCGTTGTTCATACACTCATGTTCATATAGCAACATTAATGCTGTTTTTTGAATGCTGGGCATTTTATAGTGTACATTTGAACAAAAGGCAATAAAACAGCAAGGCGTGCATTTAACCAGGAAAACTAAGACTAATTTTTCTTTCTTGATTTGTCTGTTTAAATGCATGACATATGTTTTGATTTTTTGTTAAAATGTATATCCTAAAATGTACAGTGTTCAAAAGAGCACAGTTAATGTTGCTGTAGGAAACTTGTTTTTGAATTTCCTGACTTGTAAGTGCTTAATTTCTCAGCCCATGACAGTGCATTTTATACGTGCACACGCAGCATTTTTGGCACATTGAAGGAAAACTATACTGTCTTTATAGCTGAGATTTGCAAGTTAATAAGAAATTGGCAAACTTTCCTGTAGGGTAGTTTGATCTGCCTTGTAATACATTGTTCTAATATAGTGATAGTTTGTGGATTTTTTTTTTTAACTGTCAAACTACTTCTCCATTTTCAGTTTTGAAAAAAAGCCTTACCCCAGTTGATTTGTTGTTTGGAGAAGATTTGTCCCTGGTGAGATGAACTAAGGATAACAAGCACAGGTCTGGGGTCCCTTGTTTATCAACGGCAGCTTCTTCGTCACTGTCCATGCTGCGGCTTAAAAGTCGTTCATTCTCAGAGGATGCATCGTTTTCACTGGAAAATGTAAGCTAAGTTTATGGCAATGCAGCCTGTCATGGTTTGAGTCCATTTCTGTCTTTTCTCCTATCTTAAAGACAGTGGAATAATTTTTTTTACGTAAAAAATGTCTATCCCGAGGGATCATATAATTAAGGTTTGAGCCTACTATTGGCAATGAGCAACTGTCTCTCTGTTACACAGTCACACATACCGTTTAATTAACTCCATCAATAGATATATAATCAATACACAATGAACAGGTGTAAGTAGCAGATACCGTATAGGCCTAAGTAAGATAGTATTGTAGGAGTATAAGGTTGACAAACATATGTAAGAACAGTATGTGTTAGGTATATAAGCAAAGTAAGGATGTAATGAAAGCCCTGCAGGCTGAGGTTAGTGTGATTTATTTTTTTTTTTTAATTAAAGTAGCCACATTTAGGCCTTAGCAGGGTTGACATAAGCAGGTGGCCCAGGAATAATCCTGTACCAATAAAGTTACAAGATTCCTGTAAAGAATGAGACCACAAGTGGAGTTTGGGGAAATATGCCACAGTGAGGCTGGCAGGACTGCCATGGTAAACTATTCCTCGTTCTATTAGATCTCAGGAAGCTTTTAGCCTATTTTCCCCTTGTCTTAATTGCATTTCATTTTTGTTGTATTCCCTTGTGCCATGATGAATAATTCCTTTGCCTCAAGTATCTGGAAATGGTTACATTCCTTTTCCAATTTAACCAAGCTAAAATGTTTGTGTTTTACTTACCTTTTAACAGCCTTAGCTGGAGCTGCTGTCAGTTTTTCAAACTCTTCTTTCTCTGAGAAGATCACAACATTTTCTGTAAATCAAAAAATAAAGATGTTTAATTGGCAGAGCGATTGCAGCTGGCAACTGACTGTAAACTTGTTTCCCTGAATTCTTCTACATTTTTTAATTTTTCTCACAGGATTAAGAGCAAATTTGGTGGTACAGAAACCTTTTTGCATATTGCTTTAATAAATGGAATTAGAGTTTAAAAAAAAAATTGGAAGTTGCTCAGGAAGATGGATTAAGGGAGTTTAAGCCCTGTGTTATCTGGTGTGGGGAAAAATGGAAACTATAACAGCTCAAACCTTGTACTTCTTTCTTCTCTTCTTGCATATTGGCTTGGGCTTCAATTGTTTTTGCTGAATGGCCAGTGCAACATGCTAGAATATAAAGAATGTAACTTATTAATAGTCATTCTCAACAGTTGTCTGAAGACAGCATTTTGCAATTGGAATTTCTTATGCCACACAGTTACCTTGACCAGAAGGTTTTGTTTTCACAATGTAAAACATGATGATCAAGACAATGGCAATAGCCATTATGAATATAGTAGACATGGCAATTATAAGAGCAGTAGCCAGATGCCCTTGTCCTGAAAGATCTGCTGGAGACACAAAAATAGTTTACTATAAAGGAGCTATTACTGAAAACAAAGAACTTTTATCAGTTTGAGGTCTGTGCTAAACTTAATTCTTAGTTCATTCCTTTATTTACTTAAAACTTAGCTTATTTATTCAAACTGAAATTTTGCTGGACCTTGCAGAACATGGCTCTTACTCTTCAAAGTCAACCAATATACAGAATTTGACAAATCGGTATAGTTCATTCTGCAATTATTAATGCTAATTATGTAAAATACTAGACCATGTGTTCTGCAAGGGTGAAGAAAGCTATAATGTCTACTAATATTAAAAAATTATTTATTAAGAGGAAACTATCCTATACTCTTTCAAATACCTCGTGAAATTTTCAGTGTTCAATAGGTTACATTTTGGTAGCTCATATTTTCTTCTTTTTTCATAATTTTAAAAACCTGAAATATATCTACACACTGTTTCATTAATTTTTGTTTATGCTTTAATTGTTTTGTTAATGTTTTATTAATTGTAAAAAGAACATTTATGAATATTTCTTTGGTAATTTTCTTTTCTAACCTGGTCAGTCTGCTCCTGAGAGAATTAAGTTTGTCATCCTTACTAACAGGTGAAAATAGTAAGGTGAAATTTACAGCAGCTGACAATTGAAACAGGTTTGTAGGCCCAATTTTGCTCATGGTTGCACTCACAACTGGTTTCAACAGGCTTTTTGGGTATGCACATCTGAAGGTAGGATTTGACTCTTTCTATGGCAAAAAATGGTGTTATTCCATATCATAACATATGGTATTGTAGTTCACTGTGTGTAACTTGTGAACAAATGCTAGCTCTCAAACATGAGTGAAATTTGGGTATTTCTCTTAACAGTAAAATCAGTTATTAGGCCTTTCTTTATAAAATAATGAAACGGTTCAGTAAAACCACAAAATGCATCATTTTTTCATAGATGTAGCCGAGCACATACATTTGGGTAATGTTCCATCAATGTGAACATGTTTAAAATGGTTGTGGTAGACTATTGTAAGAAGTGCAGGTAAAATCTCTAATATATTCAGTATAATTTGTATTGACATGTATAGATTATAAAACTAGTCTGTCATTTTTACACATGCTTCTCAGAGAAGAAACCACTGAACTTTGAAATCATTACACGTGATGAGGAACCAAAAAGGGGATCTTAAAACAATGAAAAATTCAGTTGGCAGAGAGGGGTTGCTGTTGTCTACACACTATATCTTTGGAATATCCTACAAAGATGAAATTACAGTAGTACATCTTGCAAAATTGAATTGCTGATAAATAATTCTGTGTTGTCAGAGTAATATCGTGACAAAAATAGAAGGAGGGTCTAGTTATGAAATGTTAATATAAAACCATGAATAAATATGTCCTTCTAATACCCATCCTCTTTCTTCTAGAGAGAGTATTGCCAAAATTGATCTGTAGGCTAGGCACTTAACATAACCACCTGAAAACCACTAGCAATCAGCATTAGATAATTTTATAAATCAATGTGACATCCATAACTGGATATCATGGTAGCAGCATGACAAGTGGCTAGAAGCATGAGGTAGGTCTGGCCTGCCAATGAAAATATAGGTTTTAGTCCCTAAAAATAACACTCAACAGCGTATATGTTCAGAAGAGCATTGGTCCTAACACTGACCCTTTGGACAAAGGACAGAGAAGAAGGCTGTAGTTTAAACTTGACTCATGGTAACTGTGTGCTGTCTTCAGTAGGACTCAAGTTAAGCCAAAGCAGTATCTGACAGCCCAACAGACACATCAAAAGAATCTTATGATCAATACTATAAAATGAAACTAAACTGCAAGTGAACTGAACAATGCGTAGCTGGCATTCACCAGACCATCTTCATTGCTATGGCACAATCTGTAACCCTCACTGGAATTTTCAGACAAGTCACATTGCCACTTATATCTGAATACAAATAAATTAGCAAAACTAGGATGAAAATTAAGCATCAGAAAAGAAAATTTTTAAATCCAGACATAAAAGAGAGTGATTATTCCTCAAATAAACAATGCCACAAAAAGAAAATTCTCCCTCAACAGCGAGGTGGGAATGGAATCCAAAGTACGTGATCTTGTACTCCAAGCCAAGTATCATATACTTGATATCAGAGAGAAGAATTGAAAGTCAGAGCCAATAATAAATAACCTAAAAGCTGACTTAATGTACGCGCTCTCTCTCTCTCTCTCTCTCTGAATGTCTGAAGCTCACTCATGAAATTAATTCATTATAGGGGTAACTACATTTGCCCTTACTTCAGAAAGAGCATCTGAATATTTTAACATGTCATTTCCATGCTTCAGAAGAACTGTTTGATCGTATTGATGTCATTTTGCTTCAAGGGGTTTTTAATGTTCTCAAAAGAGAGGTAAGAAAAGGGAGAAGATCAAACCACAGTGTGTAAAAGAATTGATAAACTTGCTTTTCTACATTCACGCGTAGCATTGACAGAAGGTGAATTTAAGTTAAGGTAAGTAAAATCAGAGCAATAAGCGAGGCTATAAAAAGCCATGTAGAGTTATAAAAAATGATAAATACTTCAGTGTGGAAAGCTGAATTAAAAATGAGACAATAAAATGTCTGGAAATGTGGCCTCCACCACCACAAAAACACACACACAATGGTCAGTTTTTGACAATTTCCCCTCACTTGAAATGCATTGTTCTTATTTTCATGTAGTTTTGACAGATCATAAGGAGTAGTGTAGAATTTCTTGTTTTAATGAAAAAAGAGACTGGCCTTATAGTTCTATTAAATTATTTTTATATTCCTGGGCAGTCCCTGCTGGGGCGTTAATGCCATTTCCTTATTGCTAAAAAATAATGAACTAAATTAATTTCCAGCATAAATCAGGACAACTCAGTTGAAGTCCATTTTATGTTCACCTCCACTGAAATAGCAGTTTGGATTAAAAATCATTGTAAACTATTATTATTGTTAGTAATTTTTAACGTATGGAAAAACAATGCAGAATAGTTTCACAGCAGGTGTTTCTCAGTTCAACAGTACCTTTTACCTGCTGATACTGTATTCTATAGAAATAGCTGTTGAATAAACTCGAGGAAGCTTTTCTTACCTTTGTGTGCATGCTGAAAAGGTGAGAGCGTGTTTGTGCCAGAGGTACTTGGGAAAATGGCTGAAACACCAGAACTCGTGCCAGCACCTGCAGTAGTAACAAAATTGCCTTAAATTTCTCTGCTTATCTTGTATCATTTCAGACATGTCTTATTAACCTTGTCATAGTAAGCAGAGCACTCCCTTAGTTTCATTGAATTTCTCATTCCTTTAAAAAATAGTCCTCGGAGGCACTTTCATTTTCTGAAATGCCAACAATCCCCAAATTTCTGACACTTTGAAAAATGTATTTACCATAGTGCATCTTTTTGCACAGGACTGGAAGGAATTTTCAAAAATCCCATTGACTAGTGTGGTAACCTGTATGCAGACAAAGTGTTCCATGATATACGCAGGCTCAGATTTGCTCAATAGATTCCCCTCGTGCAAACGGGGAACAGAATGTCTGCCAGGAATGCGTCAAGGAGGTGCAAGTCACTCACGATTCCTGCTCCATTATGGAGTCTGGAGCTAGCCAGTGCAACCCCCAATGTAGAAAGGTCATCTAGGAGCGTCTTCAAATGAGTGCCTCTCTCAGGTTGCCTCAATGAGATTTCTATGGAGTCCTGATTGGTATTTAATGCTATGTGATGCCAGTGAAAACTCCTGTGGAAGATAGCAAATGATACTGCAGGATGCCTTCCCTTTGGTGAAACTGCATAGTTAGGGTGACATGCAGGATGACATGCTTAATTTGATCCTGCCAACTAGAATCTATCTTCACAAAAACAAAAAACCACCATTGTTGTCAGACAAAGTCCTGAAATCAACCATAGAAAACAACTAGCAACGACAGAGGGATGGATAGGATAATTTAATAGGCTCTTTCTGTTTGAGTTCTGTGACTGGTTACAAAAAATCAATTGTAATTTTTTTTAAATTCAGCTGTGATGCAATATGTGTGCTATGTTTTCAGAATGGAAAATTGGGTCACAAATTGGGGCAAAATGCCAGTTCTGTGAGCTTCTTTTGACTCTAGGCAAAGAGAGAAACAGTGGGAATGAAGTCTGAAACTAGGAATACTCTTTGGCCAGATCTACGCTAGACCTGAAAAGTCAGCTTAAAATATGCAGCTCCAGCTATGTATTCTACGTAGCTGGAGTTGACTTAGCTTAAGCCAAGCTTGGCAGTGTCCGCACAGCAAGAGGCCAATGAGAGCAAATGCTACTGTTGACTTCCCTTACTCCTCATGTTTCTGTGCCACTGGACAAGGTGGATGAAGTCTTTTATGAGATCAGCTTCTCTTGGTGAGAGAGAGAAGTTCTGTGTAAGCTCACCCATCTCACCAATTAGTCTAATGAAAGATAATGCCTTGCCTTGTGTCTCTAAGTGCGTCTACACTGCAGGGCTCAATTCAAAATAAACTATGCAAATTGAGCTATGTCAATTGCGAATCTCATTTCAAAATACAGTAAAACTCCAATTGTCTGGCACTCTCAATAGTCCGGCATCAACTGGAACCCGGAAGTACTCCAATCAGCCGCTCTCACGACTGGGCCACCGTGAGTCGCATGCGCATTCGCGGCCCTGCTCCATTCCACTCATGGTCCCCAGCGCACACTGAGTCCAGCCTGCACTTGCTAGCAGCCGACCACTGAGCACAGGCAGCTGCCTTGGGACCCAGACATAAAGGTTGGGGGAGATGGGGGGACTGGGTTACAGCAGGAGGGGAGGTGTTTGGCTCTGGGGGAGGGGGATTGGGTTGGGAGTATGCCCCCTTTATAGTACCTCCCGGTACTCCGGCATATCCAATAATCCGGCACTACCTAGGTCCCAAAGGTGCCACATTATCAGAAGTTTATTGTAGCTTATTTTGAAATAGGGAGCATCTACACGGCGCTTATTTCAAAATAGAGCACTCTTCCTCCGACTTCCCTTATTCCTTGTACAATGGGTGTTACAGGAGTTGGAGTAAGAAGTCCTCCAGCGTGACAGTATTTTGACACTATTTCAAAAGAACTGCCTGCTGTGTAGACGTGGACTAAGTTATTTCAGAATAGCGCTAGTTATTTTGAAATAGTGTTGCAGTGTAGACATACCTTAAATGACCTAGGTCTTTTCTGTTTTTAACTTCTATGAGTCAAACCCTAAAGTTATTTTTCAGGCAAAACTCATTTTTAAACAAATGAGAAACTGAGTCAATGAAAGCTTTGCCTAAGTAAGGACTGATGAAGGCTTATAGGACTTGGTTCTATGATTTATTCACAATAATTCACAAGCGTCCCATGGTTCTTAGTCATCAGTATGGTTGCTATGGCTTCTGCAAACTAAGGCTGTCTTTCAATATATACGTTTATAAAGATTAAATAGATGTAATTATTTCACCTATATAGCATTGAAAGTGCCTCAGTTCACAAACCAAAACATTTAAAATTCTATAAAAATAAATACTGTTTCATTTTTAAAAAATTGAAACTAATATTTATTTCATTCCAAACCTCCAAATGAGGTTTGGAAGGTGTTTTGCCATTATTAGAAAAAAAGTCTTTTAAAGCCATCTGCAATGTATTCTTTATGCCAAGTTATGACTTTATCAAACCATGCACACAGGAACATTTCACATTGTGTAATATGTTTTCATTTTCTAAAAAACATTTTTATTTAAACATCACGTATATTTCTTTACTTCATGGATCATAAGACATTTTTCATAGTCTGCCAGACAGCTTAATTTCCGGTAGACCTCAAGTGATGGGCCAAGACCCTGAAATTCCTTACCATATTTCCCAGAACAGCAGAATAACATTAGTCATTTTTCAGTTGTGGTGTGAATCTGCCAGACTAAGTCTTTGATGATTGTAGTAACTTATGCTCTCACAAACAGACTAGTTCTACAGCACTTTTAGTCTAAGAATCAACTCCCTAATATTTGCCTTTTGATACACAAGATAAATGTGAAGAATTAATAATTTTATTATTTTGCTTGATGGTGACTACGTCGCACCTTAGAAAAGTACAAAAACTTTTTAATTTTTTTTTATATATAGACTTCTTTAAATGTTCTTGCAGGAATGATGAGACTGGTCTTTTCTAACCCTAAGTTTTAATTCTTGGTTTTAAGTCTTATTACAGTGAGATACTTAAAGGGCGTCTTTACTCCCTGTGCCAAAGTTCGACGTTCTGGCATTTGATTTAGTGAGTATAGTATAGTCTGAAATAGCTCCACAAAAGGAAGTCTTTATTTGTTACTTCTTTAATTTCCAGCTCCCCTTAATTTCTAAAGCTGCAGAATAAGCACTTATTTTGGCCTCTAGTCACTTCCCTATGTCACACCTGGTCCATAGAGAAGTGAGGTATAAGCTATTAAGACACCCTGTACTGTTAGACCATTCTAAAAATTGCAAAATGAAGTTAGTTTCTTTATTAAGTGGATATTAAGGATAAATATTTCCCTAATTTCTCTACCAGTGTAGTAGTTCTTTGCACTGAACTGAATTTCACTATCTGTGATCTGTCTCTATTTGTTTTTTCATCACAATTTGATAGTGGGGCATGTTAGTCAATGAACAGCCTCTGCAATGATATGGGGCGGGGAGGGGGAATGACAATTGTGATGTCATATGCTTGCAGGCTGCAACAAGTCAATTACTATTCTTATCCTGCAGTTCAGTTAACACAGGGAAATAATATACGGCTTTGTCTGCTTTTAGGTAGTCCAACAAGATCTATCTTGTCCCTCGTCCTCCTCTTCTTTTTTTTTTTTTTTTTAGTTGAGTTCAAACATGTATTTATTGAACTGCTTCTGTTTTGTTTGATCAGGCTCCTAGTCATTCTTATATTGTTAACAGTTTGTCATTCCTCCATGAACGGAAGGAGCAACATAAAGGTGCATAAAATGATTGTCCAAGCCAGTGTTTTCCAATTTTATTTGGCTGAGGAACACTCTTCAGCTTTTCAGAATTTCATCAAGGAACCCCCCCCCCTAGGTTTTTCAAGCAAAAAAAAAAAGGGGGGGCAGGAGGGAGAGGGACCCACCAATGCATGAAAATCACATTCCTTCCCCAAGAACCCCCCCACTCCCCTTCCTTGAGGCCTCATCCGCTCTGTTCCTCTACTCTCCATCACTTGCTATCCCCAGCCTTATACGGTCTCACTAGGTTAAGACAGGAGGTGTGGGTGGGAATGAGGGATTTGGGTGTGGGAAGGGATGAGAAGTGCAAGTTCTGGGAGGGAATTTGGATGCAGGAGACGGGGATGTTGGCTCGGGGAGGGGGCTCCAGGCTCGGAAGTGTTGGGCTCAAGTGGATGGTTGGGGTGCCGAGCAAGGCATGGGCTTGTGATGTAAGACTTTCCTTGCATGAGCAAAATGAATTTTGTGTTGAGCACCAGTACTGAGTTCATGTGGCTTGTTTGGATGTGCCACTGTGGCACTCGAGTTATTAATAAATATCTCATAAACCTTTACCTTTTCTCTCTGCTGACATGTCTCCTCCCCTGGTGCCTGCTTCCTCCCAACTCCTCACTCTCCTCTGCTGTCCTGACTCCTGCCCTTCTCACTGCCCTCAGCCTTCCTGAGACCTGCCCCCCCCCTTCGCCAGCCCTTCACTCCCCCCTGTGCCCACTCCTCCAGTAGTCCCACTCATGTGAGCTACCCCTGCTCATCCCCTCTCCTAATACCTCCCTCTACAACCCTGCCCTGCCGTTCTCCTCTGAGGCTGGTCCCTCCCCTGCAGGTGTCTGTCCTTCTGTTTCACCCCCAGAATCTCCTGGCACCTGCACCTTCTCTTACTCCTGCACCCTCCTGGTGCCTCCCCCTTCCCTCACTGCCCCTACCTCCTTTGCCCTCTTTTTCCCTGATGCCCACGCTCTCACTACTCTCTGCCCCCGTTCCCATCATACGTGATTTGCTCCATCCCCATCTTCCTCATGCCCACCCCTTCTTTCAAGCCTTCTCCCAGCACCTCTCCCTCCCCCCTCTAGCCCCCAATGTCCTTACTCTCTCCTCTCCCAGCATCACTCGGTCCCCCCTCCCACCGACACCTCCCCTCTTGCCTTTTTCCTCATTGTCTGTACTTGGCCCCCTGGCATTTGTCTCTCATCTACCCTGTC